CTGACCTTTACCAACTGAAATCTTTCCCCAAGCCCCAGCTCAGATGCCACCTCTTCTAGGAAGCCTTGTCTTGTATCCCCATCCAAATGCCCTCTCCTCTGAATGCCAGAGCACTTACCTTCACCCCTTTTGTGGCAGTGTTATGTTCTCTCATGCATTTTAGCTATCAAGGGGGATGGCGTAGCCAGGTACAGTGGCTCACGCCTGTAATCTCAGCACTTTGGGAGGCAGAGGTGAAAGGATTGTCTGAGCCCAGGGGTTCAAGACCAGCCTGGGCAACTTGGTGAGATCTTGTCTCTAGAATAATTTTTTTTTTTTTTTAAAGTTGGAGTCTCACTCTGTCACTCAGACTGAAGTGCCGTGGCCACTCTTGGCCACTGCAGCCTCAATCTGCTGGGCTCTGGGGATCCTTCAGCCTCAGCCTTCCAAGTAGCTGGAACTACAGGCGCGCTCTACCACGCCCGGCTAATGTTTTGATTTATTGTAGAGATGAGGTCTCGCCAAGTTGCCAGACAGGTCTCAAACCTGTGGGCTCAGGCAATCCACTCACCTCGGCCTCCCAAAGTGTGGGATTACAGGCTGAGCCACAGAGCCCGGCTAGAATAAATTTTAAAAAATTAGCTGGGCGTGGTGACACTCACCTGTAGTTCCAGCTACTTGGAAGGCTGAAGTAGAAGGAAGGATCACCTGAACCCAGCAGGCTGAGGCTGAGGTGGCCGTGAGCATGTCACTGACTCCAGCCTGGGTGACAGTGAGACTCCGACTCAAAAAAAAAAAAAAATTACTGAATGAAGGAATGAGTCAACACTATGCTTTGGATAAACACCATCCTGTGACCAGGCTCATTTTAGGAAAACACTTGGAGAGACTTGAGATGTCTGTTTTGACCTCTGAAACAGTGTTTCCTGACCTGTTCCCTGGGTTCCATGGCTTCATACTATTTTGGTTTTAGTATAGAAATTTTACTATTTGAACTGTATTGATCAGAGTTGTGTATTAGTCAGAGTTCTTCAGAAAAACAGAACCAATTGGAGAACATATATAAAGAGATGTATTACGAGGAACTGGCTTACATGGTTACAGAGGCTGAGAAGTCCCATGATCTGCCATCTAAGCTGGAGACTCAGGAAAGCTGACAGTATAAATTCTAGTTACAGTCCAAAGGCCTGAGAACCAGAAGCAGTCATGGTGTAAGCTCCAGTCCGAGGGCAAGAGAAGACCAATGTCTCGGCTCAAGCAGGCAGGCAGAGATGCCCATGGCCTCTTATGAGCCTGAGTGGTTTAGACCCCCTTGCCCTTGGCAGGGACTGGGGTGAGGGACAATCAGAGGCTTTGAAGTTAATAAGCCCTGGGTTAAAGTCCCACAAAATCACTTATTAGCTGCACAATCTTGGCAAAATTACTCTCTCTCTGAGTCTTGGTTTCCTTATCTGAAAAATGGAGATAATTATGCATACTCCAAAGAATTAAAGTGAGGGTGAGTACAGGGATTGCCTAACTTGCTGCCTGACACATAGCAGGTGTGTGATACGTGTTTTTTTTTTTGAGTTGGAGTCTCACTCTGTTGCCTAGACTGGAGTGCAGTGGCTGCTCCCGGCCACCGCAGCCTCGACCTGCTGGGCTCTGGCGATCCTTTCACCTCAGCCTTCCGAGTAGCTGGAACTACAGGCACGCGTTACCACGCCCAGCTCATTTTTGATTTATTGTAGAGATGAGGTCTCGCCAAGTTGCCCAGGCGGGTCTCGAACCCGTGGGCTCAGGCAATCCACTCACCTCAGTCTCCCAAAGGCACGGGATTACAGGCTGAGCCACCGAGCCCGGCTTGTGATATGTATTTTATTCATATTTGTGGAGTCAAATAGTAGCTGTTCTACATAAGAAGCAGAAAGTTATGCTTGGAGCGAGTTATTGTTAGGTGTCTTAAGTTAGGGGAATGAAGTCTTTACATAGCTTATCTTCATAGGTCATCTCAGAACATTCAACCCCAAGCCCAAGCCCTTCTTGTGAAATGTCTTACTTGCTGAGCTTGGTGGCTCAGCCTGTAATCCTAGTGCTTGGGAGGCTGAGGCGAGAGGACTGCCTGAGCCCATGGGTTTGAGACCAGCCTGGGCAACTTGTGGAGACCTCGTCTCTATAATAAATCAAAAATTAAGGCCGGGCTCGGTGAATCAGCCTGTAATCCTAGCACTTTGGGAAGCCAAGGTGATTGGATTGCCTGAGCCCGCGGGTTTGAGACCCATCCGGGCAACTTGGCGAGACCTTGTCTCTACAATACATCAAAAATTAGCCGGGTGTGGTAGTGCGCACCTGTAGTTCCGGCTACTTGGAAGGCTGA